TCAGCCAAAAATTCAATTAATTAAAATAATTTAAAAAAAATAAATTTTTGTTGTTGTTTCACTTCTGTTCGAAAACCTCTTTATTAAAATATGAAAGTAATTACTCGCAAACATAAAAAAAAAAATTTTATATTAAACCTAGGTAGGTAGGTCAAATAATGACCCATTGTGATACCAAACAAAAAGCGTTGGTACGTACATACACTGAAAAGTCAGTATACGACCAACGCCGAAAAGGGTAACAACTATCCTATTAAGTAAAGGTAAACCAATCTTACAATTCTATGAATTTGTCTAAGTTAGTAATACTAGAGATTACAATATGACAGCTCGGTCAGGTCAGTAAGAAAAGGGGTCCTGAAGATTTTTGACCTTTTACTAGTTAAAGAAGGCACTGACACATGAGTATGGACTATGGTATCTCCCTCATCCACACCGCCCAGCCGCGACAAAAGTCATTAAATGTACAAAAATTAATGAACCATTGTACAATATAAATTTACTGTGTCATCGCAATTCTATATATAGTGAATATTATGTCTGTTTAAAAACTTTTCAATACTTATATATATTGCACAAATGTATCGGTTGTTTTTAAAGCTGCATGAGAACTATCGATATCGATAACTATGGTTTGACTATATTGACATTTCTGTTCACTAAGGTTTGGTAATTCATCATGAAGCGTTTAACATTACCATAACGCCTCCAAATTGTGAAAATTTACTTTGTAAAAAATTAATCTGTTCGCGAAATTCAAAACCGAATAATTCGGTTTAGTATCGAAGCTCATTTCTAGTTAAATGGCAATGTCAATATGCAAAATTACCGTATATGGAGCAAAGATAATCTTCAAGTCGTGAACGGGTCACCATTACAGCCATTAAAATTGACTGTTTGGTGCTTTTTACAAGTTAGCGATATTATCAGTCCGTATTTCTTTCGAAATGAGGAAGAAGCTGTCGTTACGACGGATAGCAAGCACTATTGTGCCATGCTGACTAAATTTTTGTCTCCATAAACTAATCTGTCAAACATCGACAACATTTTTGATTTGGGTCCAACAAGACGACACAACTTGCCATAAAGCGCGTTTAACAATCGATTTTTTACAAAATCAATTTGGTAACAACTTTATTTCAAGAAGTGGTCCTGTTAACTGGCCCCCTTGTTTGTGCGATTTACCTACTCTTGATTACTTTTTATGGGGTTATGTTGTCATTATCAAGTTAAATTTATGCCAACAAACCGGTAACCCTTGAAGCATTGGAAACCACCATCGATGACATAAGGTCATATCTATTGCAAAAATGGACAAAAATTGGACTGTACGAGTGGAACATGTAAATTGTACCCACGGCGGAGATATGCCTGAAATCATATTAAAAAAGAAGACCATGAAATTATTTTCCTGATTATAATAAAACACATTTCAATCCAACAATATTTCAGTCTTGTATTATTATTTTAAGTTCTTACACAGCTTAAGAAACACCCAATATCATAATATCCTTCTAACTAGAGTTAGCTAAAATAAATAAATAATTTAAAAAGCAATTTATTTTAATTCACTTCTTCTTAAATTCCCATCAAAGGAAACGCTCCACTACTTACTACAAATTCTATTAAAATTCATTTCTATAATGATCCAGCGAAACATAATGATTACAAATATAGTAATTTAATTTAAAAAATTGTTTTACTTCATACAAACTAAATTGCTACATTTAGTTCAATCCACTTTGATCCCAATAAAATTTGTTGCAGTGAGAATGTGCAGCAATAACAATATTGTTGCAGTAACGCCATGAGACTATGCCATCAAGTACCAGCAGTTCAATGAGGCATTGAAGCAGCAATTGCAACGGCAACCCACAGTTCTGTTTTTAGATTCTTCGAGCCCTGATGATGCTTATGCACCCGCTTTAGTGGCGTAAAAAGTACACATTGTGGCATTATTTGTACGCTTCAAACTGTGACATTGTAAGCAGGAAGAATGAAGAATGAAGAATTTTTTCAAGAGTAATCGAGTGAGACTATTTGACGGTGTCAGCAGGCAAAGTGACATCAATTACAAAAAACGTGTTTAAGTTAGAACAAAAAAATGTAATCTTAACACTTTTAATCAATTTTAGAAAATTCTTTAGATATTAGTTTGGTGCTATGTAAAAATCAAAAATTCTAATAACTAAAACTTTTTATAGTATTCATTAAACTTAGTTATTTTGCTTGGAAGGAAATGCCAACGGGACGAGTATTTCAGTTCTCAAAGGATATACATGCATTCAGCTGCTAACCAAGTGTGTGGCCAAGAAAAACTATTTCACTTTACGAGTAATATATTTTACTGTAGTTATTGAAGATAGTTTATACAATTGATTTAAATTGCAGAACTTTAAATTTATTGCTGTATATATGCAAAATGAGTATAAAATATTTGACAAAAAGATTTATATGAACTTTATCAAGCGTAAATCTTTGCTGTGATTTTATACTTTTAAACAATAATTTTAATTTGAGTCAAGTAAAAACATAAATTTTCTCACATTTGATTTAACTGATCCCTTACCAGATTCAATATAATTTTTTTAATTTTTTGAATCAAAGCAAATGTTTTATTTTACTAAAAGAAACTATATCCTGGAGCGCACTTACACTTTCCATTGGCACTGAACAAGATAATTCATTTTAACATAAATGCAGAGAAAAATCAAAATCAAAACATTTCAACAAAATATAAAATAAATTTCAATAAATTAACAATTTGAGTTGCAATCAAAACACTATTATGGGTATGAGACCTCTATGAGCTCATAAAATAAAATGTCAAATAAAAATACAAATCATTTTATATTTTATAGAACAAACAAAACAGTAGCTCTCCAGGAGGAAAACAAAGTGCAGTATTATGCAGGATGTTGAAGTCTTTGTGGGGATATCACAATTTGCTTGACTGCATCCTAGTCACCGTAAATGGTTATAAACTTATTTCATTTTCATTGTACAGTTACAGTTTTTATTGTTTTATTATGAGCTTGGATTTGAGTTGTTGTTTTCATTTGAGGCACTACAATTTATATGCATTTGTTTTCTTTAAGTTCGTATCTTAAATTAATTAAATAATAATAAAAGAATTAAATAATAATGAGAATTAAATAATAATAAATATAAAATGTGT